TGTGATGAATGTCTGCCACGTGTCAAACAAAACAAACTGAATTAACTTACTTTAACGATCCTGTTGTTCAGTAATTTTTGAAATAGCTACAAAGTTGTTCTTCTGTGTCACCTTCAATATTCCCTCAGTAATAAATCTGTTTGTGGGTTAATCCTGTGGTCGCTCAAAAATGTAATCCGTCCATCATTTTTTGAGCCACGAGTTTCTTTTTCACAAGTCAGTCTTCCCAACTCTGATACGACCTGGCTCAGAGGGGCATCAGAGGTAGTTCTCCTACTCTACTTGCCACCTCTGTTTTTTCTGAATGTACTGGGAGGGACAGAACATGCCTCAGTCCCGGACGTAGCTGTCCTATGAATGAGGCGAGTGACTTGCCCAAGGACGCTTCAACCTGTGACTGAATAACAGGGAATTGAACCGCCAACTCTCTGATCAGAGGATGACTCCCTTTACCACTCAGCCACAGCCACCCGTAAGATTTAACCAAAACAGCTATAATTCTTTCATTTCTCGAAACAGGATCTTAGTCGGCAATTCTGGCATGACAAGTGGCAGGCAATTCCTTAAAGGGGCTATATCATGTAAAATCAATATTTTTTAAGTTTTGTATCATGTTATAATATTATACTCTCATCAAAAACATGCCCAGAGTCTTACTTTGACTCATTCATGTATGTTTGAGAAATCCTGTGCTGTCCTGAGGCAGCCAGGCAGGGGAGCAAAAACAACTGTTTGGGACTAGAACCACCTTTTGGGACCAGCTCCTCCTCTGGGCTGAGCTTCCTCATCACAGAGCACACCTCCCCACCCCCCGCACCCCGCCCATGACTCCTGCAGTCTCTCCACAGCAACAAAGCAAACAACTGGTGAAACAGAAACAGTCTGCTGAGCTACCAGTACTACTTGTTAGTGCAGCTCTTTTCAGATTCACAATACCTTTGAGAAAATGTATTTTCAGATGCCAAATAAACTACGCCAAGCTTCCGYATCACAGTGCATGGGCGTGACAGAAACGGAAGGTGGTTCTTAAAGAGACAGATGCCAATTGCAAGGTGTTTAGAAATAGAAATGATGAGAATACAAGTTTATTTTTTATTCAAACATAAAASAGCATTTTAATAACAACTGAAGGTGACATAGATACTTTATTATGGTATAGAATTTAAATATATTCCTGAGAAACACATAATATTGCCCCTTTAAAAGAATTCCTGGAGTTTAATATTTCTTTAGAAATGCCAAATAGAAAAGCTGTTTGTCTGTCTGTTTGTTTGTTTGTGGAAACAATAGGTCAGGAGGTTCTCTGAAGCATATTTCTTTACCGAGCACCCCAAAGAGATCTCTCTGACATTTCAGGAGGAACTGTAAGTATTGGTTTTCACATGAACATCTTTGGGTTGAATGAAATAAACCACTTATTAAATTATTTTCCTGTCAAAGTATCAACAGACATGGGCAGATAGCTGCAGAGGTCCGGTGCTCAGACTATTTGACAAAAATGCCTCCTTTACCTGTTGAGTGCCTGGATATTGATGGAGACTGGAACAGCCTACCCATCATCTTTGAGGACCGATATGTTGAATCTCTACAAACAGGTAGCACTGATTTTCTCACAATGCATAATTTATTTGGTATCTCTGAAATTGTACTTAAATTATTTAATTCATTCTTCACAGGCAATCTATTCATATGAAGTTCCACAATGATTCAATTTAAGCATTACACTTTTAAACCTATACATGCCCTTATTGAAAAATGTAATCTGAAGACAGCGTCAATTTTCACAACTATGCTATGGTCCCCTTTGGGGGGGTGGGTRGACAGCCCTCCCGGAGCGGGTGCCTCTGGAGGCTCCGAGCTTAGGGTCCTTCTCGGGGTCTTTGGTGCTGTTYTCCCTTATGTCAGCTTCAGGCTTTACAGGTCAGCTCTGTGGTCCTCCACAGTCACTTTTAAACATTCCATTGGAGAGGCCTTGTAATGCATGTACATGCATGCTCACAACCGCACACAAACAGGTGTTTAAATCCTGGGTTTTCTGGTCGGACACTGATTGAATGGTTTGTGCATATGTT